GGGCACGTTCTGCGTGGAGCACTGGGTGTTATGTACAATGAATCATGGAACACTACATCAAAAACTAATGATGTAATGTATGGTGATTAACAATAAAAATTTAAAGATTAAAAAACCTTTAAAAAAAAAAAAAGTCAACACTACTCAACCAGAGGTACCATGGAAGACTGTCTCGCTTCTCCTCTAAGACGGACCAGATGAGGTCTAAAGAGCTGTTAGGCTGGAACATTCTCTGAGCCTGTCTCATGGGGGAAAAGCGCAGTTCCGCGCAAACCGAAGCTCACTCCACTCTGGCCCCAGATGGAGCAAGCGCCTTGGGAACACACATCATAACGGGCTCGGGCAGTGGGGGCCCTGCAGCCGGCGTGGGAGTGAGGGCGGTCCCACGCGAGGAGACCCTCACCCCGCACCCCTGTGCGCACCTCGCCCGGAGAGCGCACCTGCCGCCGCACCACAGGGCACCGCACAGGGGTCCTGGGGACGGTCTCCAAGATCTCCCGCCCCGCTCTCGCCCCGCATAGTCCACTAATAACGTGCCCGGCGCGAACCCACCCGCGTCTTCCCGGGGCACCGCGTCAGACCACACAGCCCGGCCCGGAGGCCATCTGGGGCGCCCGACTCCTGCCCCCGCCCGTCTGCAGAGCACGCGCTGGGCGGCCAGGCCGCAGACCACAATGCTGAGCATGCGCACAGCGCCCGGAACGCCTAAAGCCGGGCAAGCGCAGCATGCCCCGGACGCCGACCACCCGGCTCCCCTACTGAGCATGCGCACCACCCCCAGGGGGCTGTTTCCTGGCGCCGTAGGCTCGGGGCGCCGCCGACCACCGACCCCCCTACTGAGCATGAGCAGCACCACTCCCCACCCCCCAAGCCCGGCCCTGTCCCGGCCGCGGTCCCCACTCGCTGCAAGTTGGGGTGTGCGGGGAGCACTGGGGACCCGATGGGGGCACTGCCCCCGCTCCTGCGTACCTTCCAATAAAGAACCCCGAGCTGGCGCAGCTGCTCCAGGCCGACCGGGCGGCTGGGCTCGGCGCGGTGGGGCCGCCTCGGGTCGTCGGCGGACTCGTCCATGTACCAGGCCTCCACCATGGCGGACCCGGGGCGCCGCGAGCACCCTCTGCACGCCCGCCCGGCCCCCGCCCCTGACCCGGGCCGGCGGCTACGGGAGGCGGTGGAGGAAGAGGGAGCGCGCAGCGCGGGGAGGGCCCTTATCCCGGGGCGGCCGGGTGGGGCGGGGCCGGCGCGCCCGGAGCGCTCCCGGCGGGGGGAGGGGCGGCAGGCCGGGGGCGGCTGCGAGGAGGAGGGGGCACAAGGGGGCGGGACGGAGATGGGGGAGCAAACTGCGGGGAGGGGGGTCCAGAGGTCATCTTGACCAGAACAATCTGGTGAAACAAGCAATACTAACTTAATGAAACAATTTATACTTTAGAGGACGGAAATTAAGTGCCACCAAAGAACCCACGCCACCCACGTGGGGCACAGCGTGGCTTCAGGTCAGGTCGCGTCACCACAGAGGACCCAGGTGTCACTCAGGGTGGAATACCGGGTCCTCTCCATTCCCCCATCTTTGCAGTATCAACAGTCTGCTGGGCATCTCCCTTCACCATATGACGGGTTATGTTCTAGGGGAAGAAAAACAAGCCTGCCCTTCCCATTCCTTGAATTGATCATCTGTTTAGCAGATTAGGGGGAAAAAAGGTTCATTTTTTAAAAGCAATCAACCAGAAAAGATCCGATCATCCCGCCATCCGGCACAGCCTCTACAGGGAATCAAGTAACTGGGAAGCCCATGGGACTGAAACCAGAACTAAGCCGGCACATCTCCAGAGCCCACAGCCCGCTCTGAGCTCCAGGAACACTGTACACGAAGTGCACATACACTTCGTGTCGGGTCCGCTGCTGCAGTCCCACCTCTCCCTCTTCACATGCGTGACCAGCTGCTGCTTGCCCCCCAGGGGGACACCTTCCACGGCACTGCCCATCTTCTCCTGTGCTTCATGACAAGGCTTCATGACCTTGTCTCTGATAGGGGTCGCACCCCACCAGTAAAGCTTCAGGGCTCACCCCTACCTGCAGACTGCTCACACAAGGTGACCCAGGACCCTGAGTTGCCGCATCTGATCACTCACTTCTGGTCTGATCTGCTGTTGCCCACAGCTACCCCTCCCTTCCCCAAAATGCCTCCTTCTCACTTGCTTCCAGCTCCCTCCTGGTTCTTCTCCTTGGCATCACCACAAAGTGGACTGTCCTGTCCTCTGTCCACACACACTCCAGGTGACCTCATGTAGTCCAGGATACGTGGTGACTTCCACAGCTATCTCCAGCCGGGACCTCTTTGAGACCCGGCCGGGTGTCTAACTCGGCATGGCCATATCCGTGGTGAATCAGCGTGTCAAACCTAACTCAGCTGAAGCAGAGCTCGATTCCCCACACGTCCAGGCAGGTCTCTTCCCAGCCTTTCCCAACCCTGTCAACAGCCGCACCAACCACCCAGTGCCTAAATCCCAAAGTCTAGGGGCTTTGTGTTTCCTCTCTCTTACCTTAAGCATCCAACCAAATCTAGCAACAGCACAAATATACTCACTTCATCCTGCTCCTTCTGCCCTCTTTTCCGGACTGGTACACTGACTTGAAAAATGGACCCCTGCTCCCACTTGTGCACCACTGCAGGTTCTCTACAGAGCATGTATTTTAAAAATACAAATGGGGGTGCCTGGGTGACTCCATCGTGTGGGTGGCCAACTCCATCTCAGCTTGTCATGATCTCAGGGTCATGAGTTCAAGCCCTTCATTGGGCTCTACATGGGGCGTAGAGCCTACTTTAAAAAATTAAAAAATAATAAAAAGTAAATAAAAATACAAACAGGATCTTGTCACTTGTCTGCTTAACCCTCCTTTCCGGACTGCCGTGGCTCCTGACCACCTCTCCAGCCCCTCTCCCTCCCGCCTGTTCTCTGCCCTCCACACACTCGGGCTTCTCAGCGTCTGGCCCTGAATGTCCTCCTATGTGCCCTTCTGTTCTCAGCTTAGATCTCCCTTCCTTGCAGAGGCCTTCTCTGACCCCTCCCTACACCTCTGGGGAGGTCTCCCTGTTACACTGGTGCTGGTGTGTACTGGTTTGACTAATGTCAGCCTCCACCTTAGGACTGTCAGCCCCAAGTGAATTTGTATTGCCAATGACAACTTGTGTCTTGGGGTCAGCGTGTGTCTTATTAGTCTTCCAGGAACCTCGTATAGGCAGTAAAAGAAAGTTTGCTGAATGACCGTGGAAAGGATGTAAGAGAACACTGCAGAGTTTTCACAGCATTACTGCAACTGCCCTCCTGACGCAAACCAGATCTCGTGCCCTAGGACGTAACAGCTCTGTGTGCTGGGTAATCTAACAAAGGCTTCCCGAGCGTGGTCTCATCCAGCCTTACGAGCAAGGTGGGCATGACTTACCACCCACCTACTAAAGACGAGACAGCTGGGGCACACACAGCTCCAGTGACTGGCTCGAAGTCCTGTGGCCAGGAAGGAGCAAGGCTGGGATTTGAGCCGGGAGCCAGCCCCAAAGCCTGCAGACGTTACCCCGGCAACACAGCGAGGGAAGGAGCAAGGCTGCTCTCCTCCCAGTGGGGAATGACTGCTTCTTGGAATGGGGACAGTGCTTTCCGTGCCCGCTGGGGCTTCGGCACAGACAATCACGCATCACCATTTGCGGGGCCTCCGTCTTAAGCAGACTTGTTTTTTCCTATTAAGGAGGAGAGAAGGAGCTGTGTTATATTGTAAAAAAAAAAAAACTTTGGAAAAGCAAGACCATTGGGATGCCCCGAAGAATTGTCACGGAGCCCAGCACTTGCAGCCAGAGCCCATTCAAGCAGGCTGACTCAGATCAGAACAGCACTCATTATATTCCTATGACCATTGCTGGCCCACGGGATTCCTCCTTTGAAGGGAAGTCTTTTGAAATTGAACTACTCCTTCCAGAAGAATAGCCAGCAGCAGCCAAAAAATACGTTTTGCGACCAGAATTTATCACCCTAAAGTAGGCAACTCGGGAAGAATCTATTTAGTTGTTCTGAAAGACAGATGGTCTCCGTTGCTGCAGCCCTGCCCGCGAGCACCGTTCTCCATCCCGGCTCTGTGAAGTGCTCCCGGCCCAGGGGCCCACCAGCCAACGGGGCAGGGCAACGGCAGAGCAGAAGGCCAGGGGCCCTGAGACGCTGGGACATGAAGGATGTGGATGCTTCCTCTGCGAAGGCCCAGGGAGTAGATCTTTCAGGTTTTGCAGGCCAAGAGGCAAAATCAAGAAAAATAGATCAGTCCTTCAGTAACAACCATTTTAAAGTGTAAAAACCATTCTTAGCTCACAGAACATACAAAAACAGGCAGCAGGCTGGAACCTGCTGACCCCATTCTATCCCATTAATAATATTCACATTTCATCTGGTCACCAAGTACTTTATTCCCCTGGCCTGTGGGGAGAGCTCTGAAGGGTTTGAGATTTCACCCTGCTAACGAGCTATGGAGTCAGCCTGCCATCAGCTCGCCAATGCTGGCAGAAGACACGAGTCTCCTGGGTCAGAGGCAAGGCTCAGTGTGGGGCTCAACGGCAGGAGTCGTTGTCAGCATGTCTGACAGGTTCCCCAAACACCAGTTCCTGCCAGGGGACGCAAAGAGCCTAATAGAGACCTGCATACTCCACGAGTTGCATTATGGGCAAAGAACCTTGAGTTTAGGACCCAAGACCTTTACTGTCCTGGGCACGAAGTGCAGCTGCCCTTGCTCCAGGAAGATACTACATCTGTCTTGCAAGGCCATTCACTAAAGAAATCTCCCTGACAGACCCGTTAGGATCTCATCTGTGGCTGCGCAGAAGTGTCAGAGACCCACGGAGAATTGTCTCCTGATGTGCTCCAGGGACTTCTGTTTTATTTGCATTCAAGGGGTACAGTCTAAGCAGTGTGGCAGAGGCTCCCAGCCCTGCACTCGGAAGTGTGGGCACAGCGGCTCTTCCTCTGCTCGGCGTCCCACAGGCTGCACTCAGGGGTCACTGGGGCTGTGTCCTTTTCTGGAGCATGGTTGTTGGCAGAACTCGTATGGTAAATCTGAGATCCCCATTTTCTTCCTGGCTGTTGGCCGGGAGAGGCTCTCCCTATCCAGAAGATGCCCTCAGTCCTCTGCCCATAACATAGAAGCTCAGTTCTCTAAGCCCGCAGGAAAGGCTTTAGCCCTTTGAATCTCTTCTTCTAAGAAGACCTCACCTGATTAGTCCAGGCTCACCAAAGATAATCTCCACTTTGATTAGCTCAGAGTCCAGTGGTTTGGGGCCTTAATTACATCTGTCAGTAATCTAACCAGTGGTCAGATGCACCATTCCACCTGCACTCAAGGGTCTGATACACTGGGGGGTGGAAATCTCAAAATGCTGCCTACCACATTAGTAAGTCTGTGTATTGTCCTTATTCACCATTGCGGTGCCTGAGCAGAGACTGAAAATGGTTAAGACCAGTGGCACCTCTCTACTTTTATTTATTTACCTGAGTCCATGTTTTAGATAGAAGCACAGCAAGTGAATGTCACTCTTTCGTTGGAATTTGGTTAAAAGACAGTAAAATGAACTCTACGAAAGCAAGCAGAATCACCTTTAATCAAGCTTAACACTTGCTGATGCTTCTAGGTAAGGCTTAGAAAATGATCACACATTTTTTTTTTGTTGGAAGGGAGAGTTATGCCCTCACTCCATAGCCAGTGTAACACTGTCCTTAATAAGAGTGGCCAGCTACTGCCACGGTGCTGAGTACGGTCGGACTTTGCCACGGCAGCCTCACGTGGTCCGTTCTTTTTTTTTTTTTTTTTTAAAGATTTTATTTATTTATTTGAGAGAGAGAGAATGGAGATAGCATGAGAGGGAAGAGGGTCAGAGGGAGAAGCAGACTCCCCGCTGAGCAGGGAGCCCGATGCGGGACTCGATCCCGGGACTCCAGGATCATGACCTGAGCCGAAGGCAGTCGCTCAACCAACTGAGCCACCCAGGTGCCCACGTGGTCCGTTCTTGAGAAGATGTCTGCCAGACACCCTCGCTGGAACAGCCATGGTCATCTGGTGGCTAGTTGGGCTTGCAAGTCCATCGTACGGGCGTCTCTCCTAGCCACCATCACCCTTTGGTTTACAGTAGAAATGTTTCTGTATGCTTCCCATTTTGTCACAGAGAATAT